TATAAATTCTTTAGTTAACAAGATCCCAGTGGTTTGTATTCATGTTACAGACTGAGAAACACGGGGTTACATGGACACAGACAACAGTGCAGTAAGGCGGGGGGAGAAGTGGAGGGTGTGGGATGGAGAGGGGACATCTGTAATACTATCAGCAATATAGATAAATATAAAAATAAAGTGATCTCTTATAGGCAAAGAGAGAGAGAAACGCTGAGCAAGACCTAAATAATTTTATGCAAATTTCATCTGTTATTGGTTAACTTCAGTATAACTAGACAATTATTTTGACACTCTAATTGGCTAGTTTGGGGTATAATTAAATGTACATGCAATTTTGCTCACTCTAAAAAGATCTGGTGGTGAATTTTTGAAAATTCTGTACTAAATATGGTGGCACCATATTTAAATTAGATTATATGGAGGTAATAATTAATAATTAAGCAATTCCAAACCTAAACAACCAAATACTTTGTGTAATTAATATGAAGACATTCAAAGGCATTAGAGCTCTTTCAGTGTTATGTTCTTAAAAATTAATTAGAGAGGAGTGACATCACCAAGTTGTGACACAGGTTGTTCCTGACTTTGCTCCCGCTCAGAAGAAGAGCAACTAACATTCAATCATGAGCTCCAATGACAGAATCCTAAACCACGAAGGTGAGGCTGTACCACAGAGTCCAAGAGACTACATTCGGAGGGTGATAGAAGCGGCTACATGTTCACTGCACTGCCCCTCCCCAACCCAGGCCAAGCTAGCACAACGTGGAGAGCTCTCCCTTCGTCTCCAGTTCTTCCACTGAGAAATAAAGAACCCGGAGGGGAACAAAGAGCCCTCTCCCAGCACTGTGTGTTGCTTTGCAGGAGCCCCTACTCCAATTTTGCACCGTGTGGATTACAGGAGAATATTTGGGACTCAATGACTGGAATCTGACTGTGACAAAGAAAGGGATGCATACTTTCGGTGATAAGATACTAAGTACTACAGATATAATGTACAATATGACTATAGCTACCACTGCTGTGTGATAAGAGAACAGTTAAGACAGTAAATGCTATGAGTTCTAGTCACAAGGAGAAAATATGTTTGTTCCTCTTTCTATATTATTTATTTTCATTGTATCTGGATGAGAAGATGGATGCAGCAGAACCTATTATGGTGATCATTTCACAATATATGTAAATCAAATCAACCTTCCATAATCCTTAGGCTCACACAGTGATGTATGTCAATGATTTCTCAATAAAAGTGAAAAAAAACTTTAAATAATTCAAAAATTTTAAGAAATTCAAAATGAATGATACTTGTTGAAAAATTAAAGTAGCCTTTTTAAGCTACATAGAGGCACCATTAAAATAATATGATTAAAACACTATTGCTTAGCTACTATGTGAATACTTATATTCTGGCATCTAGTAAGAATATCATAAAAATCATTTAAGGGAACAATTAGGATCTTGGCTATAATACTGAGAAATTATGAACTTTATTCTATGAAGAACTAGCTAACCAAATTATTCTAGACTCTCTGGCTTCCCCAAATAGGGCATGAGAGGCTGGTTAGCTCTCCTTAAATAAATTCCCACATCTATTTCTCCTGGAGAATGCTAAAATAAAAATAACCATGATGTAGCCTGGACAATATAAGGCTGAAAGTTCATCAGAGTGTCTGGCCTCATGGCTTTTAATTTAGTCTTCTTATTTGAAACCCATTGTGTCTTTACTGTCCATGCAATCTCACCATGGATGGCATCTCTCATAAAGTCCTGATATCCCACTGCAACCTGCTGTACAGGATGACTTTGTGCAATCGATATCACATAGTTGAGTCTTTTATTCCTTTGCATATTGTTTAAATCATTAATATCATTCTATTTCATTCAACCAATGTTATTAGGTATTTACTATGTACTACACACTTTTGCTGAGCTCCAAGGCTACCATAGTACCTTTTCTCAAAGAGTTGATAGGAAAATTTAAAAACAAAACAAAGGCTCAAAAATCTTGACTTATAGTTTCTTAGAAAACAAAAAAAATATCAGTTTATATTAAAAATTTAAGAATTTAGATAAATATTACACTTATTTCAGTATGGATTGAAAATTTAATTTATCCTGTCTTAAAAAAATAGGTGTCATATCTGTCTGAAATGTTACATTCTGGGTTTTTTTTTGTTAATTTCATATTTTTTTCTGAATAAATTGCAAGTTGCATTTTATTAAATATTCTGCATGAGGACATTAGGACTCATATACACTTAATCTATGATGAGATAGTACTTTACCTTACACTACCTCACTAATAGTTTACTATTTGAATGTCAATGAAACAAGCTATGCTCTCTCTCTATTGAAAGAAAATGTTTTCCTTTGTGTACAAGGAAGAGACATGGATCTATGGGAACAGACCTAGGTTCAAATCCTGAATCAGACAATGACTAGGTGTGTAATTCTAAAAAAGTCACAGTTGCATTTGTTGGCAGTAATCCTCAAGTAAATGGTGGCTATCATCATCATCATCACCAATGATATAAATAATAAGCTATATTTTCTTCCCTAAGTTTATATCAAAATGCAGATACAGTAAGAATGAGCACTTCAGTTAATTTCTAAAGCAGCGCAGGTGGGTGTATCTCAGTCACTGTACATTTTAGCTCACATTTAACAACTGAATTTAATATTTAAATTGTTTATATGTGCATTATTTATGCTCTACATTAGTCCACTCTTGACTTGATCTAAATGAAATTATATAAAAAGGAAAATTTAAAGCCATGTATAAAAAATATAGTGGAATTACAAAACAATTTGTGGGGTAAAACATTTGATTGTAATATTTCAGATACCAAAATGAAAATTATTTGTTTTGATAGAATCCTTATTTTTTGAAGCTATGACCCCCCAAAAAATCTCCACTATAAACCCAATAGCAAAATTCTGAACATTCCTCAATAGCTTATCTGAGAGCTAAAATAGTAAAATAAATCTTATAGTCAATATATTTGATTCAATAATTAATATCAGTCTGTTAATTTGACATTTTCTAAACATAAGTGTAATTTTATATATTGAGAATGGCTTGTCACTCATTTATCAATTTAATCATTTAATATACAGTAAACAAATAGCTTTGAAGACATTCTATGCTTGAAGCATTGTACACTATATTGCAGAAGCAAATATATATATATGATTTGGCACTCTTTATCAAGAAATTTACTGTTAAGTGAAAGGAGAAGCAAATAAGAAATCAATATAATGCAATATAGTAAGTGCATTTTGGGGGGGTGGGTAAGGAGAGAATAATACAGTAGCACAATTCAAGGACACAAAAACGCGAGATGTAGAAGGAACAGTCTGAAGAGTGATATGTAAAATGAATTGCAGGTGATTCTGTCAATTATTTCTGAAAATATAATTTTCTTAATGATTGCTTAGAAAAGGTGAAATATGGAAGAACTTTGCATGGAAAAATGTAATTTACATAAAATATATCCCAAATAGCAATCTATATATACACACAGGGAATATGCTAATTAGCCGAGCATCAGGACCGCTCAGGAGGAGGCTGCATCTTGACCCCCCACCCCAGAGGCCGTGGGGAGGCTGGGGCTGGGGGCCGGCCGGAGCAGGGACACAACACACAGGAGCGCCGGCCCTACCCCAGCGGACACAACGCTCTGGCCAGCCAGTACTAGGAGAGTCAGGAGCGGTTCCAGGCCCCCCACAGGGTGCCTCCTCACAAGGCTGGAGGCGGGGCACCTCCTCGCATGATTTCAATCTCTCACTGGGCCTCTAGTATGAAATAAAAGACTAATTTTCTCTTCCAGATATAATAGAGTAACAAAATAAAATTTAAGTTTAATTTCTAAACAACTGGGAACTGAACAGCACATATGAAGCAAGTCTTCAGACATTTAACAATAAGCTACACATGACAGTGAACCTCTTGATTATTCCATCGCACTATCTGAAAAGTGTCTCTGGACTCTAACACAGACTAAGGGAGGATAAACTGACTGATATTCTCCATGAATTGAGGAGACAGAATAAAAAGAAATTCAGGGAGGTCAAGAAAGCTAGCGTTAGCTGGGCACAGTACCAGAGAGAAGAGGGTCACACAGAAAGCTCCAGAGATCTATGGGGTTGTCCTCAAGTTTTCAAATGAGTACTAATCATCATAATTATGTGAGGAAAGTATGAGGTTGGGAATGAGCAACCAGAAAACAGCAGTTGAACAAAGATCTGATTAAGGTTGTAAAACAGATTGCTCAGAAAATGCGTGTAGAGGGAAGGAAGACATTACTTCTCCCATGCCTGAGGACTAACAAAGGTGGTTCAACTGAAGGAGGATGAACCTGCAAAAGAGAACAAGAAGTAGCATTCAGAGAGAGGGGACGAATTAGTGAACACAGTGCCAAGATCTTCCCCTTGTCAAAGTCCAATAGTTTTAAACATGGCTTCTAATATTTTTAAGTTTTGACAGCATTTGAACAAATATGAATAAAAACAAGAACCTCTCCCTACATCAGCACAAAAATTGTCCATTGACATAGGAATGGCAAGATGATTTCATCACAATAGACAATTCAATGCAGAAATTGTTTGACACCGATTCCCATTCACTCTGTGGGGACACTGTGGGGGAATAAAGACGAGAGAAGGAATGCTGAATAAATTATGTAAATATTATAGAAGATTATATATAGTGATAGATAGATCTAAAAAATATGATCCTCATTGGGACCCAAAGGCCAGGAACACTAAGATGGCTCCTAGGAGAAATGAAGTTTTGACAGAGCCCTTTGAAACAAAAATAAAACTTCAGCAGGATTTGGGGATGAAAGCCATTTTAAATTCAGAAGGCAGCTTCGGTAAAGCCTCCAGTATGATGCTAAGGAAAATAACTCCAGCATGAGAGAAAAAGCCTTTCTTCTGGGAATATACAGACAACTATTACTCGATATTCTTTAAGAGAAAGTGAAAGTTTTGGGGAAATGTACAGAGAAGTCTACAAAGTAGATGGATCAGAAATAGCAATGGATGAGAAAAATCAATGTTTAAAGATGATAAAACAAAGCAAAAGGAACGGCATAAATAATAAGCACGCCATTATATATGAAGTTCCCTCTTTTATAAATTGTTATTTATATACTGTTTTAAATTACATCCCACTTCTGTAAAAACTCACTTAGTTTTGCATATTTTATTATAAGAAAAAGTGATTTAAAAGTGCCATGCATCACCCTAGTGCCAGAGAAATCATTTAAATAGTCACACAATGTTTATTAATTTATATCATAGTATTTCTCATTATTTAGAAGATTATTTGTCTAAAATGCATTAAGTACATGAATAAGATAGACTTCGTATTTGAGCATATATTTTTAACCAGATTGAGTATTTGTATTGAAAGTAATAACCTTTGGGAGATAATTTAGCACTATGCTTGAAATTGGTATCAAAGACAAAGTGTAAGAACATTTATGGATTAAAAATGATGTGACTAGCTTTGAGTTATATACTTGAGGTTAAAGAAATAAATAAAAATGTTGCTTCATTGTTCAAATATATTACAAACTACCTATTACAAAAGAATTCCAGATGACTTGATATCAATTATTTTAAACTGAAAATAAAAGATCATGTACAGACTATTTTCAGTCTAAATGCACACAGTCATGTGGCATTCCTTGGGTCTCCAGCTCAATATACTCAGTTGCTATAGAAACCATTTCTAAGGAAACAGGAAAAAGAAGTATGAGTATTTCTATTGCTGGCTGTGTGCCTGAAAGAAATAAATAGTAAACAATTAGTAATACTTCTCTTGCATATAGGTGCTTATCAATTAAACAAATGAACTGAAGAATATATACAGTTTCATGCTCATAGTTTATATATATGTATATATATATATATGAATGAAATAATTTTTAATGTTACATTTCATTTAATCACACACACTAACAATGAATGGATAACCATACAAACGATGCACTGGAAAAAAAGAACATTTGTCACCTCTCCAAAATTAAGTCAGTTGAAATCTCCAATTGTAGAGAGGCTAAATGTAACTATTTTGTAACATAGGGAAAAATCATAGAAACTTGTAATCAGAGAAAATCTAACTCACTTCTTCACTTGTCAGAAGAAGCTGAGGTTAGTGACTTGCACATAAGAAATGACCTGCACATAATCTGAAAGTAATTTAAGAAGATTCAGGATTACTAGTAGAATTCAAGTTCCCAAACCCAAATCCTATTTCTTCCAGCACAAAGTTTACCTCAAAAATGTGTTTCTAGAAACAATAAAATGAATCAACTTTACACTGAATATTTACCCCTGTGCTCAATATAAGCCTGGGCTTTTAATAATCAGGCTCAGTTTGCCCTATTCTGGAAACTGCTATTGAATCAAAGTCACTGCCATTGATCTTTCCATTTTATTTTATTTATTTTTTGCTTATTACTCTTTTTTTTCACATATAAATACTTGTATGCTTATCTCAGTCTGAACACTGAGAACCCACTTTTGCCTACACCCATTTACCCAGATGAGATCAAGAAAAGTGGGATACTGTCCATGGTTTATCAAGTGGGAATCTACCTGTGGCTATCTTCTGGTTTCTGTCTGTCCCTCTGTGCTGACATAACAGTTCTCTGGATTCTCCTGTGTTGTCGGCATAATACTAAAAAGACCCTTTCAATGACCTTCATCCTGATTAATCTTCTCCCTTTGAGTGTGAGTGAATTCTCTGTGAATATGACATCATTCTGGTCATTACATTATTATGATAAAAGGTGATTATGTGGGTGGACCTAATAATCAAAGGAGCCCTTTAAAAGCAGAGGTCCCCACCCTGTATCCTCCTTCAGCAAAAGAGGAAGTCAAAGAGATTCAAAGGATGAGAGAGTATAGATAGCAGGGATGTTCTCCCTTGCTGAGATGCAAGGGTTTATGGGAAAAGACCCTGCGAATGGTCTCTAGGAGTCAAAAGCTGTACCCGGTGAGAAAACAGGCACCTGAAACAGGTTTTCATTATAAATGAATTCATAATGTATGTCAATTTCCATGTAGTTGCCTTAATCATGACCAGGTCTAAAAAAGTATGATATTTATACAGATTAGCAGGTTCGAATATAATTCTTTTTGATTTTTTCCTATTTTTCCCATTAATTTTAGAATGATATTCCTATATTTTTCTGAACACAACTACATGAAGTAAGTGAAATAAGCCAGTCAATGAAGGAAAAATACCACATGATCTCACTCATTCATGGATAATAAAGACCATTATAAACTTATGAACAATAATAGATACAGAGTCAGAGCTGCCTCAAACTGATTGTTAAACTGGAGCAGGAAAGCCAGGGAGGGTTGGGGGGCAGGAGGGAGGGACTTGTATGCATGCATATAAGCATAACCAATGGACATAAGACACTGGGGGGTAGGGGAGGCCAGGGGATTGTCAAGGGCGGGGAAAAAAAAAGGACACATATGTAATACCCTTTGTAATACTTTAAGCAATAAAACAATAAAAAAAAGAAAAGCATAAAAGTTCCTATTTAAAAGTATAAAAATATTTTAATAGTTGGCAAATACAATAGATGGCAGAAGTACTACAAATTTGGTTTAATTTACCATTTCTTATGGTAGAGTGGATAGACCAGAAGACTTATCTATCTTATGGAAACCTTTTATTTTTCCCCCTAAGACTCTCATGCTTCTTCAGTCTCCTTACCTCCATTTGTTTCATACCAAGGAATGCAGATATTTAAAAAATCCTAAGGAACTTAAATCAATTTCAAAGGCATTTTTTTAAAAAATCAACATCAAAATGTCTTTGAGAAAATTTGCTTTGAATGAAATTGAAATTAATCATGTAGGATGAGAGTAAATTTTAAAGTGAGGAAACTGCTCACCATTAAATCTAGATCTGCTTTTCTAGAAAGTCTATAAGCGCTAAGATATAAATTCTTCCAAGAAATGAATGAGAAGCATTATTAAATCATGGATTAGCTCATTTGATGTGTTAATGGGTAAGCATTTTTTAAAAATTGATAGAAATAAGTGGAAAGCTACATATAGAAATGTATTAAAAGATAAATGACTTCAATGGTTCTCTATGAGAAAGATTCATATAAAGAACATGAAGAATCATTTTTCAATATTGAGACAATACATTGTGTTTTTATTAGCAAAACTATTAAAACTGAATTATTTTTTACCAAAATTAAACATATATAGTACATTGAGAAGCTTTCACTTGCCCACATCCCTAATCATGTATAAATTAAAAACAACTATTCTCTAAAAACTTGTAGTATTTTTGGACTACTGGCTCTTTCCCAAAATTGTTTTGCATATTAAAGTGTAATCTTATGTATTTTATCTTTAAATCTTTAAAATTACCTCTCAAAAATCTGGGCACACAAATATTTACAATTTAAAAGTTGAGGTAGGTCCTGATATTGTTTAGATAGTAAAATGAATAAAATAATACTAAAATGAGCTTAATTTCTTACTTGTGACTTAGTCAATTAATATGTAATCTCTCAATAAGTTAACTTTTGAAATGAACTAAACAGAGACAATGGATTGACTTTGATTTCTATCACAAGACATAAAGACAATTACAGCCAAATTTTAAAATACATATAAAATTAAGTTTTGCATAGAGATTATAATTTAAGAAAGATCCTTATCATTTATAGTGCAGGATTTACATATGTTTAAAAATGAAACAAATATTTTGGTGATGAATTATTCCAGAGGATAATTTTGAAATAATTTCTTATTTTGCTTCTCTTTTCTAATAGAGAGAAGGTATAAGATTAGTCAATTAAATAATTGTCACTCCAAAGGTAGTACCTGCTTCCTTATTTAATGGTACTTTTCTAATAAATACTAGAAAAATGCTTTTTCTAATTTATGCCAGAATCATTGATCAGCTGCCTCCTGAACACCCCTTACTGGGGATTGAACTCAAAACCGGGCAGGTACCCTGACTAGGAATTGAACATGACCTCCTGGTTCATAGGTAGACACTCAACCAATGAGCCACACTGGCCAGGAGATATTTCCTATTTTATAGTGAGAAATGTGAAGTATTCCTAAGATCACACAATTACTAACTAGAATTGTAACCAGATAGTTTGACCACAGAGCCCAAATTCTAAAACCCTTATACTGTAGTAGTAAGGACCCTGTAGAGAACAATATGCTAATTTCTATAGGGCATAATAAAAGAGTACAGGTCCTTTACATAACAATTTCAGTTTCTAATTTATTTCTGTGGAATCAAAATTGACATTATTCATATCTTATGCTTTTAAAGCAAAATAAGTATAAAATTGGAGGTAATTCCTGTGGGGTTAATAAATGCAAGAATACAACTTGTCAGTTGGTGAAAAAATATGTAATTTTTATAGATCCTATTGGTTTAAAAGAAGACTTTTTCAAATATAAACTATAATACTTACATACCTTCAGGTATAAATATTATCTACAAACCAAGTGTTATTCTTTATTGCTTTCAGCTGTCAAATTGATAAAAGGCAACTTTATTTTATTTTTTCCCATTACACAAAGCTTGTTAGAGTGCTGTAAAGAGTGACAGTGGCACTGGTATTGAAAAAAGAGATAGATAAGCCACTAGAGGAAATAAAAATGTATCCATAGTCTAAGTAAGATGTTAAGCTGCTTACAAAATTTCACCCAAAATAAGAGCATAGATTGAAAATCAAATAGAAAAAAAATAGTACATGGCTATAATATTAAATCAAGAGTTGTGTTTATGGTCTAAAGTTCCCAAATTATATCTAGAATCTCACCATTTGCAATTATATACTGGATCATAATGTCTTGTTTTCCAGCATTAAATCACTCTTTAAAAAGTAAAATATGGATGTTTCAGAGGAGAGAGAAGAAAGAGCAGAGAAATATAATGGGAATATAGGAATTAATATGTTTTTTACACTGCAGGATCCTGTAATTCAAAGCTGAGAGTTT